ACCAAAGTCATCCCATTATCCAAATTTTTCGAATCTGTGTGGTGTAATAACGAATAATAATTATTGCCCACTACCAAACCCACTCCTTCATTTTGAAATTGAGGGATTTCGATATTTCCATGTTTAAATTTTTGCTGGTTTACTCTTGGCAAATGTTCAATGCCATTTGCCTCGATCTAACAACCATTTATATTCAACTGATATAAGTCTGCAGTACGTCGAATTACTCAGAGTCCATTTATTATTAGATCTGTTTGTGCAATAGGCTTTATTCACCACTTCTTCATTAAATCATTTCTTACTAGCATGATGTCTGATCCAGTATCTCCTATTACAACCAAGTTTTGTTGTTTAGTGTTAACCTTAATGTTAACCATATTCGCCAATTTTGCTCTGTCCTCTACCACCAGTAAAGTGTTTTCTACCTTTCAACAGTTATGTAAAGCAGGATGGACTTGTTGTTGGCACCTGTCACAAGGTTTTTTGGTACAATTCCTTGCTTTGGGGCCAAGCCTTAAGCAGTTTAAACATCTATTCAACTTGGTTAATTTCTCTTTTCTCACAAATTTGCTGTCCCTTTCAAATTCCAGACACTCCAACATCCTATGTCGTCGTTCACAATAATAGCAAATTATTCTCCCAGTCTGAAGATCTTTACCTTTACCATCAAATCTATGGGCGGATTTTGATGAGCTAGAGATCAGAGAATATTGCAGATAAACCGCCCTGCTTTGTTGAGACTCTAAGAATTGAATTAACTCTTTCTCTGGTTCATATTCATTTGTGCCTATTTTACTTTTGGTTCTTTTAACCCACAGTTCCTTTAGAGAATCTGTAAAGTTTCCCACTGCTACCTCAACCATTGGTTGGACTTGTTCCGCGCCCAACAATTTTATTACACTCCACATATATTCTGCAAGATTTACTAAGGTGTCACCAGCACCTATATCCAGTTTCCCATAGCAGTGGATTCTGTTGACCATCTCCTCATATTTGTCTATTCTATTAAAGTGATGATCTAATCTTTCTAAAGCTGATTCAAACCTTCCACTTGGGTGGGAAGCATATTCTTCTATTTGGCTCTTGAATGACTCCTTTTTGAGTAAATTCTTAAGAGGGGGGCTTTTTGATGTAACAATCTTGAAACTAACCCTAACCCTGCCTTTTAATTGAGATGGCAATATAGAATCTTCAAAATCATCAGAGTTTATATTGCTCGCCATTTTTAATTTTCAAAATTTTTTCAATGGTCAAACATTCTATCTTCCAAATGGTTATAAATACCTTTGGTTCTTGATTATTGAAATATTCTTTTCTACTGGACAATTCCCAGCAATTCTTAACTCCCAATGGTTAAGATATTCTCAACTTTCGAATGTGAGGAACAATTTAAATTCTCCTTTCTGAATCGTCCCAAAAATGTAAAACTAATTCAAAATTTGTCTTATCGAGAACTTCGTCTTGTCTTTACTTTTGAATAAAGTAGGAAAAGGACTTTATTTTAATAGTTACTGTGAAACATATATCTTAACAATATATATTACGACGGTAAAGACAATTCAGCTACTGAACATACACCAAGGGCCACCTGGCGGGATTCTTACAACATTATGTTTAAAAGATACATCGGCCCTCTGCCGGCTATTACAAACGTTACTTATCGTATCTTATTCAACATTATCTAATCAGAATAGAATAGAAAGCTAAAAATAATTGAAAATTTGAAACAATGAAATTCATTTTACTTTGGAAAAGAGAACATGACTTTGTTAATCAATGCCCTGTTCTGTTAGTAGTTTTTTAAAGAGTTTCTATTTAATTTATGCATGTCTTTTTAATTTTAAATAGTGTTAACATTAGTTGAGTGCAACTTTTCTCGATTTGTTTGTCCCTTAAACTCTGAATTGAAGCCTATTGATGGTGCCTTTGCTGACCCCAGTTATTGTGGAACTTACTATAATTGTATCAATGGTACAGCTCATCCTCAACAATGTCCTCCTGGACTTTTATTTACTCTCCTCTTAACCAATTGTAAATATACTATGTGTGTGGAACCACATATTGCTGATTGTCCAGGAGATAATTCATCAATGATTATAGAATCTAAGGAATCTAATGAATGTTCAACAGATGTTGATGTTGTAAATAACTTTGATAAATTATGTTATATGAAAAATTCTGAGTGTGAAGATAATCGAATTGGGACATACCCTAACAAAAATGACTGTAGACAATATTATCATTGTTTTAATGGTGTTGCATGGCCTCAGCAATGTCCACAAGGTTACTTTTTCAGTCCATCTTTAAACATTCGAGATTGTGCAACAAAAGTGTGCGTTACAGCTGATGAATCTAACTGCCCTGTAGCAGGAGAATGGTCCCAATGGTCTAGGTGGAGTGAATGTAATCCATTTTGTGGAGATGGTCTACGAACTCGTACAAGAACTTGTACAAACCCTGCTCCAACAAATGGCGGTGCTGATTGTCCAGGAAATTCAATTGATGTTTTATTATGCACAAATCCTCCATGCAATTCAAATAAAAAACCAGCATTTATGGTCTCAATGACAAGATCTACTTCATTACCATTGGGAAGATTGGTATGGAATAAAGTAAATCATGATAATGGTGATTTATTCAATACAACTACAAATTCATTAAACATAAAAAGAAATGGTTTATATTTCCTATCATCTACTGCAACAACACCTCTATCTTCAAATATAGACTTTTTAATGAAAACAAATGATTTAGGATCTAATATTGCTCTCTTTCAAGAAAATAGTTACCATAGTGATACTTTTAGCATAGGTGGAATATATTCATTAACTTCTCTGTCAAAACCTAACCAAGATATTGGAAGTATGACTGAGATTGTTAGTAGTGAAAATGGCTGTCAAACATCATGGAGTGGCTTTTTCTATGAAACAAACAATGCATTCTTAATTGGAAGAGGAACTGATTATACAAATGTCAATAGTACAATTCCCCTTAATATTATTGTTACACTAAGGGGCGTGGCTATAAATACTGCTAAAACTGAATTAACCATATCAACAGATGGATGGTATTTTATTCATTTTGGTACAGGTTTTAAAGATGGCAGAGATTGTTTAGTTGGTGTAGTAGTTAATGATGATCCATTACCTTCTTCAAGACATGTAGTTAAATCTAATTTTATGTCAAGAAATAATCATGGGTCGAGAGGAATTCTTATTAAATTAAACAAAAATGATAAAATGTCATTAAAATTATTTAGAGGTTATTCAAGGTCAGCATATTTATATACATATCTATCTGGTTTTAAATTGAGTGCAACTGAACAAAGTCCAGCATTTTATGCATATAGAACTCGAAGTTTGTTCGTATCAAGAAGGGAACGGATTGATTATCAACAAATTGAACTTGACACAAACTCTGGCTGGAATCCAGGACAGAAAGCTTATAAAGTTGCAATTTCCGGTTTATATTATATTGATGTATCAGTTGGAACATTTTCAGGATTGCAAACTGTAATATCAATTATGGTTAATGATGAAGAGAAATTGGGTATGCAAAGATTAAGATATCGAAGATATAGTGAAAGTATGAGCAGAGGAGGATTGTTAAAGTTAGAACAAGGTGATACTTTATCAGTTGAGACAATTAACGATGTCTTCAGCTCAACATGGAAATTGACATCAATAACTCTTTTTTATGTTTCATCCTCATAATCAATTATCATTTTTTTCACATGTTTTTTGAGTACAATTGATTGAATATGAACTTGCCTATACTATCCAATCAAACATTACAACTAGTCTCTGGACATATCATGTTACAATTCACAACATTAGTAGGATTTAATCACACAAGTCATTATTGGCATAAGATAAATTGGGACCGGTCGAAAACGGCCATAAATGAAATATTTGAAAGTTAGATTTCAGCCTGGGAAATGGTTAGGAGGAATAAGATAACTGTTGATATGTTCTTAGGAGGGTCCCATCTAAGGGTTAGGGGTATTCAAAAAGGTTTGACAAAAACAAGGGCTGGGTTAGGGTTAGGGTAAAACCATAGATTTATGGCCGTTTTCTACCACATCCAGATAAATTGATCTGAACAATATTGGTCATTAGGCATTTGATGGATGGGAGAATATCATCTTTGCATGATATTCTTGATTTCTTACATGAAGATATATTCGAATTATATCTACATTCTTAGGACTTTATTCTATAGAGAGAATACTTATCATTTACTATTTAAAATGCTTGATTTCTTGTAATCGACACATTTAACGTTTAAATTATAATATCAGTAATCTTTGTATCAACTTTCACATAATCTTGAGTTAACTAGGCCTAAACAAGATTATCTAACTTCTACTTATAATCCCAAAAGCAAAGTAGCTTTTTCTATATGAATTTGTTGAAAAAAAGTACTCAATTTAACTGGAAATATCTATAATGGCTCATTGCCAAAAAAAAGCTATTAGTCATTTCTTCAAATTTCGAAAAACTGGATATAATCCTTTTACAATGACGTTTAATACATCAAAGCATATAATGAAAATAACAATTTAAATAACAATAACTAGTGGATTACGTTCTGTTGGTAATTTTAATTCTTGAAAAATCTAGACAATGGGACATTTTCTAAATTTGAACAAATATAGAAAAAGCTACTTTGCCATTATTTTAACAGAAATTTTTATTTTTGGCAGTGTTCAAAATACAATGGGTTTATTATTAAATATTGGATTTAAAGGATAATCCAACAACCTGAGCAGACCATTACCTACAACTATTGATATGATTTCTTAACTCCATTGAATCTTGGGTCAGGGCTAATGGAAAAAGTTAGATACAGCCAAGGGCTGGGTTAGGGTTAGGGTAAAAGCACTGATTTGTGGACATTTTCTGTCGCATCCCCAAAGTACACTTTCAAATAGAAATTCAAGTTCCCGAATAAGTATTTGCAAATAGATGATATTCATACAAAAGTTAATTGAATTATAGCTTTTTCAGGCCTTAATATAATTCTAAATAAAAGTAATTAAGTCTATGGTTTTTAAAAAGCAACTATATCGAACTAAAGTGCACAAGTTTATTGATGATTCTTTTTAAAAGTGAAATAGTTTGATAGAGAGCTAGTTTTTACAAGCAACACCATTTACATATACACCATATCATGCAAGCAAAGCCAATAAAACCAGCAAAACCTCCAATTCCCCCACCAAGGATAATTGGTAAGTTTATACCAGATGATTCGGTCTGTTGCAGTCTACTCTGGGGTACAATAATTTCAAATTTTGTACCTCTTCCAACATGACTGTCAGAATCAGCCTTAAAATAGAAGAAAATATCATGTGATCCACTGATTTCGAATGAAAAGTTTGCCATATGACCACACCACTTGCGGACAAGGTTTCCAGTAGAGCCATTATATATTGCGGCAACATCATCCAAACAGCCTGGAGACTCCTCCATGTCTGTAGCTATGACTTTGACAAGAAAGTAGGGGTTTGTTTTTGGTGAGCTAAGGCGCTCACATTCCACAGTATTTGGTGTGTATCCACCTGAATAATATCCAAGATTATAGTATTCACTAACCCCATTGGAAACTTCACTTTCAGACATATGTTTGCAGTCTTCAAGTGGATTCTGTGTAGTGATTCCAGAAGGGAAAACTGCAAAATTTAATTTTAAAAGTAAGAAAAATAAAATTTCAAGACCAAAATTATTTATTATACAAAACTTACAAAAGTAGATGAAAATTGTCAATAACATATTTGCTGTGACAGTTGGTTTTGGAGTGTGAAAATATATCAAACTGAGTCTTGACTATTTATACTTAGATAATTATATTCAGAAAGTTGGTTACCAAGCAGAAAAGCAAAAATATTCAATACTAATATATTATGTTAATTATGAAACGACAAAAGGATAATAGAAATTGAGATAAAAAATTCTTAATACGATCACAATTCATTTGTATTTCTTTTTATTACCATTTCCCAAAAATGATATAAAGAGGAATAAAAATTAGTTTAGATATGTTTATTAAAAATTTTCCAATTCTTCCTGCTTCAATTTGAAAGTTTTTCAATTCTTAAGAAAATCAATTGACATTGTATTAAAGATAACCAATTTTTTCTTTTTTGTTTACACAGATGCTAAAGTAGTTTTAATAGAAATCATAAAATGACCTATCTTTGACCTTGACCTTTGTTAATTTATCAAAATATATATATATATATATATATATTTATGTATTATTATATATTAAAACTGTCGGATATATTTTACTAAAATGTTCCAAAATGGATTTTTTTAATTTTTTTGGTCCTCTACTCAAATCTCAATAATTCAGTTATTATTTTTAACTTTTCATATTTAAAAGGTGTTTTAATATATTGAATTTTCTTTGTGGTTATGATTATGAGACACTTATTAATAGCTTTTTTAGTGTATAATCTATAACCTGTGGTTATTATAATTGATCTATCTTGAGCAATCTAGTCGCTATGTCTGTCAATTACACTGATGGTGGGAATGAAAAGAGAGTCACTTCATAGGTAGGGAATCATATATCTCTGAATACAGTATATTTCAAATGTTCAATTAGAAATTTGTTTGGTTATATAACACAATTTAAATTTATGAGGGGCCAGTTGATACCAGTAGGATACTAAGACATCTATAGGTTATTTATAAGATTTTGTTTTTTGCTTATAGCACGAAATTCCTAAGAATTTCGTACAAATTGTATTTGATTTTCTCTTGGTCTCTCACACCATTCTATTACATTCACTCTCTTTTATACCTTGCTAGCGTCACTTAACTGGGTGTTTGACTGTGCTCATCTGCATTGCCACATTCATGCCATGTCGTTATTAATGCAGATGTTTATAATAAAAAAATTCTTTACATGTTTTTGATAAAAAGTTAGAAATTTCACTAAAGAAACACAAAACATAGAATTTTTCCAAGTAGAGAAAATGAATATAGAAAAAACAGGTTAGATTCAAAATGGCGGCAACAATATTCCTATCTGTGACTTGTACTGACTTTAATGTTTAATTTGCTTATAATACTTGATGAGAAAATGTCCAAAAATACTACCTTCTCAACATACCTATTGTTTTGTATAAATTTAACAATTACAAAATGAAAAAAGATGAATTCTGCTGTCAGCAATGTAGAACAAAAACTTAAAGTAAACAATATGGATATAAATCAACTTCAAAATCTATCTCTGAATAAAGATAAGGAAAATGGATTTTCCAATATTTGTAAAGGACTTCAAATGTCATCAAACAGTTTGAAAAATCTGCAATTATATAACTGTCAATTAAATGAAGAACAAAGTACAGATATTGGGAATTTGCTGAAACATTGTTCAGCAATTGAAACAATTGAACTATCGGAGAATAGAAATATGAAAAATGGATTTTTGAATATTTGTGAAGGACTTCAAATATCATCACAAACTTGGCAGAATTTTTCTTTTCGTGGGTGCGATTTAAATGAAGAACAAAAAAAAAAGTTTGAAAATTTGACAAAACAATGTTCTGTATTAGACGAATAGAATGTTTACACATTATGTGCTAGCATGAGTCAGTGAATGTATGTCAGTATGTTTGCGTTACTTAAAGAAACTTAAAGTGAAGCTTCAGTAAGAAGGTGGGCTATCAAAATAAAAAAAGGAAGAAAAAATTTTCAAGACTTGCCAAGATCTGGTCATCCAAAGACAGCTCTAACAGATCACAATAAAGAAGCAGTTGACAGGCTTATCAGGAAAGGAGACTGTATTGGATAAGGCCTGGAAAACAGATTATTTTACAACATGACAATGCAAGATCCCATAACAGTCTGCACACAACTGATTTTATCAGGTGCAGGTGAATTTCTATACGGATTTGAAATGGAAAATTGTTTAATGAATATTATATCATTTACTGAAAAGAATAAAAACATATGATGTAGAGTCCTGGCATCAACGATTAACAGTCACTCTCCCCTATGCAAAAAGTAGGTCAAGCCTGCTTATCTCAAGATTCACAAAAGAAATTTGGAAAGGGATCAATGATGCATTAATCAATCATTTTGATATGTCATAATAATTCATATTGATATTTAGACTTATCAATACTTTTGTCTTTGAACTAATCTCTTCACTGTTCTTTCAATAATATAAAACCTTTGATTATCTTGAAAATAGTGAATTGAAAAATTCAATCATTTAACAAGAGTGTCTTTTCATCAACGAGTCATTTCAAAAAAATTAATTGGAATCAAAGCGAAATTTCACCACATATATTAACATTAAATATTGGAGAGACCTTGCTGCCAGATGAGTATGAGAGATGGAAAAGGTAGAATAACCTAATATTCTAATAATAAGTGAAAAGATTAAAAATTGAAATAAGAGAAAGAACTTTTCTTCATTGCAGTAACAATCTTCCTATGAAAAATATTGAAAATATGTTTGTTATATTCTTTGTGAGAAAACTTATCAATTTTTATATACTGCTCATCAAAAACTCTCAAATTTCCATTGTTCTCAATGTTTTATCACATTGAAAGGTCAAAAGCTGGGATTATAAGTAGAAGTTAGATAATCTTGTTTAGGCCTAGTTAACTCAAGATTATGTGAAAGTTGATACAAAGATTACTGATATTATAATTTAAACATTAAATGTGTCGATTACAAGAAATCAAGCATTTTAAATAGTAAATGATAAGTATTCTCTCTATAGAATAAAGTCCTAAGAATGTAGATATAATTCGAATATATCTTCATGTAAGAAATCAAGAATATCATGCAAAGATGATATTCTCCCATCCATCAAATGCCTAATGACCAATATTGTTCAGATCAATTTATCTGGATGTGGTAGAAAACGGCCATAAATCTATGGTTTTACCCTAACCCTAACCCAGCCCTTGTTTTTGTCAAACCTTTTTGAATACCCCTAACCCTTAGATGGGACCCTCCTAAGAACATATCAACAGTTATCTTATTCCTCCTAACCATTTCCCAGGCTGAAATCTAACTTTCAAATATTTCATTTATGGCCGTTTTCGACCGGTCCCAATTTATCTTATGCCAATAATGACTTGTGTGATTAAATCCTACTAATGTTGTGAATTGTAACATGATATGTCCAGAGACTAGTTGTAATGTTTGATTGGATAGTATAGGCAAGTTCATATTCAATCAATTGTACTCAAAAAACATGTGAAAAAAATGATAATTGATTATGAGGATGAAACATAAAAAAGAGTTATTGATGTCAATTTCCATGTTGAGCTGAAGACATCGTTAATTGTCTCAACTGATAAAGTATCACCTTGTTCTAACTTTAACAATCCTCCTCTGCTCATACTTTCACTATATCTTCGATATCTTAATCTTTGCATACCCAATTTCTCTTCATCATTAACCATAATTGATATTACAGTTTGCAATCCTGAAAATGTTCCAACTGATACATCAATATAATATAAACCGGAAATTGCAACTTTATAAGCTTTCTGTCCTGGATTCCAGCCAGAGTTTGTGTCAAGTTCAATTTGTTGATAATCAATCCGTTCCCTTCTTGATACGAACAAACTTCGAGTTCTATATGCATAAAATGCTGGACTTTGTTCAGTTGCACTCAATTTAAAACCAGATAGATATGTATATAAATATGCTGACCTTGAATAACCTCTAAATAATTTTAATGACATTTTATCATTTTTGTTTAATTTAATAAGAATTCCTCTCGACCCATGATTATTTCTTGACATAAAATTAGATTTAACTACATGTCTTGAAGAAGGTAATGGATCATCATTAACTACTACACCAACTAAACAATCTCTGCCATCTTTAAAACCTGTACCAAAATGAATAAAATACCATCCATCTGTTGATATGGTTAATTCAGTTTTAGCAGTATTTATAGCCACGCCCCTTAGTGTAACAATAATATTAAGGGGAATTGTACTATTGACATTTGTATAATCAGTTCCTCTTCCAATTAAGAATGCATTGTTTGTTTCATAGAAAAAGCCACTCCATGATGTTTGACAGCCATTTTCACTACTAACAATCTCAGTCATACTTCCAATATCTTGGTTAGGTTTTGACAGAGAAGTTAATGAATATATTCCACCTATGCTAAAAGTATCACTATGGTAACTATTTTCTTGAAAGAGAGCAATATTAGATCCTAAATCATTTGTTTTCATTAAAAAGTCTATATTTGAAGATAGAGGTGTTGTTGCAGTAGATGATAGGAAATATAAACCATTTCTTTTTATGTTTAATGAATTTGTAGTTGTATTGAATAAATCACCATTATCATGATTTACTTTATTCCATACCAATCTTCCCAATGGTAATGAAGTAGATCTTGTCATTGAGACCATAAATGCTGGTTTTTTATTTGAATTGCATGGAGGATTTGTGCATAATAAAACATCAATTGAATTTCCTGGACAATCAGCACCGCCATTTGTTGGAGCAGGGTTTGTACAAGTTCTTGTACGAGTTCGTAGACCATCTCCACAAAATGGATTACATTCACTCCACCTAGACCATTGGGACCATTCTCCTGCTACAGGGCAGTTAGATTCATCAGCTGTAACGCACACTTTTGTTGCACAATCTCGAATGTTTAAAGATGGACTGAAAAAGTAACCTTGTGGACATTGCTGAGGCCATGCAACACCATTAAAACAATGATAATATTGTCTACAGTCATTTTTGTTAGGGTATGTCCCAATTCGATTATCTTCACACTCAGAATTTTTCATATAACATAATTTATCAAAGTTATTTA